CAGGCCATAAAGGGAAAGCAGTTTCTGCTCCTATTCAGAATTCTGGAAGTGAAAAGGTGCTGAGAGGAGGCTCCTGTGGAGATCCAGTGAGATGCTGCTATGTGGAAAGGCACTTCAGGCAGGCAGAACTGTTTGTTCGGCCTGTGTTGTGCTTACATTTAGGAGGCATTTATTTTTGTGCCATGGCTTACAGATGGATATCTGTCGTTGCAGTCGTGTGTGGAGCTCCAAGCCTGTGCGCAGATGTGCGGAGCAGCACGTGGCACCACTGGGATGCAAAGATCAGAGTCCACAAAAAAGAAAACTAAGACAAAATATTTTGTAAAAGGGCTTTTTTTGGGGGTGTGTTGGTTGTATTTGTGTGGGAAAAGCTGTTGCTTAAGATTCTCCTGTGAACGGAGATATTCTGATTAATTCTTGATGCTTTCGTGCTCACTTCAGAGCGATGAAGTGCAATTCATTAGCAAGGTGCTTGGGTCAGCCCGAGTGATCCTCGTAGCCAGAGCAAACAAGGGGCAGCTAAGGAAAGAAACCAGACAAATGGATTAGTTAAAAATGTGCTGTGCTGCCCAGCAAGACTTAAAATCATTAACCGTGCATATGAATATTTATATGTGAGCCAGAAAGCAACTAGCTAATTTCCTACTTTCCTCTTTATAATGAGAGCCTGAACTGTTCACAGCAGTATTTTAGAAATTTGTTATTACTAACCTCTTCCTCTGCCCAGTCAGGGTTTTATTCTCTTGCTTTAAAAAACAAAAATGTGTTTATAGGCAGTGTAAGTTGCATTTGCAAATTAAAAAAAAAAAGAAAATAAAAGAAGCTGTATCTAAGTACTAGAAAGCTTAATGGGTTTAGATTTAAGATGGTCCCTGAAAATAATGTCACTTCAGAAACAGTTTTGAGCTGAAATGAAGCTTTGGGAGGTAGTTTACTGTTGTAAAAAAACCCAAATTTTGCACTTATTTTTAATTATTTTAATTGCTATTTGCATACAGATTTTTGTTTTCATATGGGGGGACAGGTACATGGAAAATTCCTCCCAAAGCACTTTCATTAACATGTCATAATCTGAAATTTTGTGGCATTATTTCTCCTTTGTCTTCCTGCCAGAATTTATATTGAAGGCTGAATTACATTTTCAGTTCTATCCTTAGAAGTTGATCTTGGTAAAACCTGATTCTTAGGAAATTTACAAACACAAACTGATTTTTCGTGATATTCAAGTAGAATAGTTGGAGGAACTTTTTTTTCAGCTAAAACTTTTTAGAAAAGATACCAGTGTTTGCAGGCTGTAGCATAGGATATAGGAGATGAGATATTGGTGGTACAGGACATCTGGTAATGAGGAGAGGCATTTTAGTGTGGTCATCATATATAAGGCAACCTAAAAAGCTCGTGCGTCTCCAGGAGGACTCTTGGGAGGAGCTGTTTTGTTGCTTTGTTGACTGGATTAAAACAGTTTAAAAATTTTATTGAGAGATAAATGTGAATGTCTTGTTTTCAGTTTGTTTAAGGGCCAGGACTCTATGTGTGTGTGTGAATTTAGAAAACTCAGTCACGGAGATCAAAAATGCTCTTTACAGACATTAAATAATTCCTGCTGAGAAATGTAATTCTGGAAGGTGAATGCTATTTTCTTTGAAATAATCTGATTCAAAGATTAGGGAAATTGAATCTGATTTCCTTGATGCACAAAAATATGTGTAGATATTTGAATATATATGTGTTTGGTTAAATCCTTTGGTTATGTATTTGCTCTACTCTGCAGTGCTGTGGCCTCACCTAGAGTCCTGTGTGCAGTTTTGGGGACCACAATATGAAAAAGATACTAAGGCATTAGAGAATCCAAAGGAGAGCCACAAGGATGGTGAAGGGCCTTGAGAGGAAGCTGTATGGGGAGTGGCTGAGGTCACTGGGTCTGTTCAGCCTGGAGAAGAGGAGACTGAGGGGAGACCTCACTGCAGTTACAGCTCTCTGGTGAGAGGAAGAGGAGGGACAGACACTGATCTCTCTGTGGTGGCAGTGACAGGACCTGAGGGAATGACCTGAAGCTGTGTCAGGAGACATTTAGATTCAATATTAGGAAAAAGTTCTTCACCCAGAGGGTGTTTGGGCACTGGAACAGCTCCCCAGGGAAATGGCCACAGCACCAAGCCTGACAGAGTTCAAGAAGCATTTAGACAATGCTCTCAGGTTCATGATGTGACTCTTGGGATGTGCTGTGCAGGTCCAGGAGGTGGGCTTGATGATCCTTGTGGGTCCCTTCCAACTCAGCATATTCTATTTAATTGTTAACTTTTAAAATGTAAATTAGTATTGAATCTGTGCAAAAAAATATAATCTTACTGTTTAACAAGCTTGTAGGGAAAGCATTCTGCACTTCCTCTTCACTTAGTTATAACAAAAATCAATTATTCTTAACAATGTGAGTTCTTTGTAAACATAAATCATTAAAACAGAAGCACACAGACACTTTAATGACACATTTCAAGAGTGATTTTGCCGTAACTTTCCTATTCTGTTCTTTTGTTGTATGAATAGGTGTGCAAGTTGAATAGGAACTTCAATGAGGAATTCTTTATTTGATTTATGTACTGTAATTTAGTGCAACACTTTTTGCTCTATTTATACTGTGGGTTTCATGATAAATCACCCTGAAATGCCTGAACCTAGTAATGATGATTAAATTTATTTCTTTGTTTTTCCAAAAAACTGTTGAGACAGCACTCATTCTCTCAGTTTAGACGATTCAGTGTAGGAGCAGTACTTTGCAGAATGTGGATGCTGTGAATGTTCAGTTTGGAGAGTCAGAATTTTGTAACCCAAGTGAAGGAGATAATGTGCCAGAGAGAAGAATGAATCATGTAAAAAGCCTGGAGAGTTGTAGTCAAGAAACAGATTTTGAAAATGAATCTTGAATGATGGATCGTCGAAAGAAAAGAAGTTAGAGTTCCAGGGTTCACTGTGCTGTCAGTATTTTTTAGTCCAAGGGATGGACAATAAAGGCTGCATGCTTTTAGTGGGGAGTTTCTCAGCTGTGATCCCTGTTCATAATTTCTAACCACAAAATGGGAACTAATTTCATGGGTCCATAACTTCTATTATTTTGAGGTCAAAGTAGAGCTACTCTAAATGATGTACCCGGAATATCCAAAGTGTGTTTTCTGTGGATATAAATGCAGACATTCAAAACTGTGTATATTTAATGTCATTGAGAAAGGATAAGCAATTATGAATTTATAACCAAAGCTACAGTGGATAATATACCACAGAAGTAGTATTTGAATCACAGGACGCTTCAGGTCAGAAAGGATCATCTACTCCACATCCCTGTTCAAAATGGGCCCAGCCTCAAGGACAAAATGTAAGAAATGAATGCATAACTTGAAGAATTTATTTTTTCTAAATTGTTCTTTAAAAAAAATTTAAAAAAAAAAGGAGTTACAAACAAACCTGAAGGTTGTTAAGTCCTGAGATTTAGTTTCTATGATAGAATAAAATGCAGAGTGCTGTGTGGTCAGGGAGCTGGGTGATGCTTGGTTTTGATAACAAATGTCCATTGTGCTACTTAGTGCTAGTGAAGATAAAGTAGAGAGAGAGATAATTCAGGATATTTATGTTTGCAGTACAAAAAAAAATGATGGCACTGAGGGATGGAATGAAAGCCTAAGCCATCTATAGTCTGGAGCAAGAAAGATAAATAGGTATATGAAAAAAGTAGTTTTAAAACTATTTTTTCATATGGATGTGATTACGGGGGTTGAGAGCAAAGTGGCTTTTTTACTACAAAAATGATAAATAAGTGTTTTTTTTGTTCTAAATGTTTGCTAACAAGTTGCCTAATGTTTCTTTTTGGTCATTTTTGCCACCACAGAGCTGTTCTGTGCCACAAAGTATTGGGGAAATACTAATTTCTAGACTAGATATGCATTAATGGAGGAGGAAATTTAGTCTTTGGTAGCTGTCACCTTCTGTATTTTTCTGTAGTTTTATTGAATAAAGGTTGAGGAGAGATGGGTCATAGTCAAGTTGAAAGCCTCTTGTGGACATGTGTTTGCATGATGCATGAATTGCAAATAAAGCTGCAGAAGCAAAAGCTCTGCTTTGGGTTTCAATACCATGTTCCTCCAAGCAGGTTATCTAACAGACGTATATATCTAGTTATCTCAGTTATCTAACACACATTATATCTAACTCAACTCCTTCTAGGTCAAAATCAGTCTTGATGATGTGAATGTTCCACTTGAGTGTTTGAACCTACATTCTCAAGTGCTGAGAAAAAGATTTTCATTATTCTCTTAAGATACACGTATTTACTAGGGGGATGAGCCCTGTTTCTGAAATGTCTTACCTTTTCAGTGTAAATGAACCTGAATCAATTGCCAGGAAAGTGTAAATACTGAAGAAATTTTTGAGTCCCTTCTCCATTCCCTCCTTTGGATTGATAGAAAAATCCCCACAACAGCCATGTGCCGTGGAAGTGTAGCTCTTTGACATGACAGTAGATGTTAAATTGAGTTACATCTTTGCATGGTCACAATTTGTTTTTCTCAGAATGTATCTGTCTAGGAAGTCATCTAGTACTGCTAATTTACCTAGAGGATAAATTCTACTTTTTTTTGTTCAAGCAGGAGTATGTTCAGTGTAACTGGGAAGTTATCATTGGAAGTTTGTTTCCATACATAAGTACCAGTTTACATGAGGAGCTCTGATGATTCCTTGATCTTTGACTCAAAATGTGTTTTTTCTGAAAAACTGCAAAATAAAACAGTAATTAAATGCTAGGATTAATTTCTTACAGAACTTTTAAAAAACTTGTATTCATGTAATTCGCGAGACTGTTGTGATGGTTTATTTCTTGAACTGTCTTCCATTGTACAGTCAGTAGCCAAGCAGAAGAAAAATAGAAGAGAACCTTTGTGCTGTCACAATCACAGAAAAGATTAGGTAAAATCCAAATTACATAACTTTTTTCATCTTTTAATTTTGTTTTCCAGAATGACAAATCCCCAGGGCGTTCCACAAGTCGATCAAGTAATATTTCAAAGGTACGCAAAATCTATTTTCTTTTTCTGGAATTTAAAGAAAACTAGGTAATTAAATACAAACCAATACTTTACTCCATTATATTCCTTATGTAGTATTTTATTTATAAGAATCAGATTTTAAAGTTTTGCTGCTGAACATGAGGGTTACCCTGTAAACTCCATCATAAGTATACAATTAGTCATTACTGAAAAATGTGTAATAATGGTAATAAGCTAATAACCCATGCACTTATTTTACCTGCTTTCCCCAAGTGTTTAATGTTACCTTAGCACTTCATCCTAAGATAGAATTACTGCTTGATTTTTCTCCTCTTGCATTACCCAAATACTAACAGCTGTAGTGTGCAAAGCTATAAATCTATCTTCATTTCAGCCTGAATTCTGAATTATTTTTACAGGGATATATTGTTCACTGAAGCCAGGACTTTACATCTAGATGCTTTTTGGTTTTTAGGAAAGAGAAGGGAAACTTTAAAAAAGGCAAAATGTTATTTTTTTACTGAAGTTCTTTGGTTTTAACCCCCTTTTTCTGCATTTTTGGTTCAGATGTGACTGAAATTTATGCCAAAGATCCAGGATGTACAGGAGGTAAAAGAGAAAAAACTTTATTTTTATTTTTTTTAATCCAGGCCTAAACATTTGCCATGCATTATGTTTGGTTCTAAATATTTTGCATTTAGGGTGAGCACAGTATCCTTAAACCTCTTCCCAAAATATTTTTGACTTTGGGGTACCCACTGTAAAACTTTTTTCTTCTCTAAGCATAAAACAAAAACAAACAAACAAAAAAAAAAAAAGACAACAAACCCCAGCTGTGATTTTAAGTTAAAATACTAGTTCCATGTTAGGTTTTGCTCTCTTAGGTTAAGAATGGAAGAAAGGCAAGGAAAAAGGTGTAGAATATATCCAGCCTGCTGTAGGATATGGCTGAAACTCTTCTAGGCTTATTGCCTATCCTCAGAAATCATACAGTTATGTGCTTACAAACTTGATCACTGGGAATTGTGTTATTTTAATTACTAGTCTAAAATTCTTTTGTCTAGCAATAGTTACTGTAAATCTATTATGAATTGATATTACTTTTTCTGCTTTTTTTAAGACAGGTGCATGGGTTGCACTGTGACAAAGCATAAATATATTCACTGACATGAGAACCATACCAGTGACTAGCATTTACTTTGAAGTGATTTCTGCAGAAATCAGTACAGTTGCTTATTAGAAAGTGATATTTGCACTGGTTTTAGTTGCAACCTAAAAACCCAGGTTTTCAGTCATGTATTTTATCTTTTTCTGATGTATAGCGTCATGCACTGTTTTGGATCACTTTTTTCTATGTGAAGCTACATGCCAATGAAGTTTTTCAAATGCTGAAAGACCTTTGATTGGAATTCCAATTTCAATTCTTGTCTGACTTGAAATGCTTTCTTTGTAAAACAGGTTTTTATGTGTGTGTGCATACGCAGAAAAGCAAACACCTGACTTTGCAGTTTAATATTGCATGGCAGAAAGTGATAGTAAAAAATACTCCACTTCAAAACAAGATTGAAAGCTTCTAGGCCAGATAAAATACATGCCTAAGGCAAGAACTGTGTTCTGTGCAATGTCAGATCTTGCATACAGCAAAGATATCCATGGGCAGAAAAATTACATAGTCTTTATGTAAAGCTATAAATCAGTGTCATCAAAACATTGTCTTCCACTGTTTTCATTTGCCTGTATGTGTAAGTTAAAAAGGGTCAAATGGAATTATATCTTAATAGTTACCATGTTTTGTGTATTCCACCCTTGGCTGGATGTAGAGCTCTTGTCCCAGAGCAGATACCACTGGATTTTGTACCAACCTATTTGTGAAATGAAATACAGCATAGATTCTGTAAATTCAGATTCTTACTTCATAATGCTCTTCAATTGTTTATTTGGAGAGGACACCTGAGGTTTGCAGTGTATGGCTGGGCAATTTTGCATGCTAGGTACGTGAATTTTAAGTCTGAATTTTATGGTATTACAGATTAAACTGAATTGTTGAACACTGAATATGTTTTATCTAGTTATAATGAGAAGGAATGGTTTTGATTTGGTATTTTACAGATAGTGGTTAGTATGTATCTATTCAGTGTAGAGGTTTTACAATCAAACATTCCCAAGACGGGTGGATGTGTGTGTGTGTAAATCAACATCTCAATTTTACCATCCAGTTTTGCAGTCTGTTGAGAGTGTAGAAGTTTAGCATGTTGCAAGGACTTTTCTTATTGCATGTAATTTTCTGTCAAAAATTTCGGTGACAGACTGTTTAAGGCAAATGAACGAACAAAACTTAAAATATTTGACTGACAGCTGTGGCTCTCTTCAGTGAATAGCAACCTGGGAATTTGTTCATTCACCTCAGCCTTTTATTTATTTCTATCAAGAAAACTCCCTTGGAACTCCAGAAGCAACTGCTTCTGTTAGTTTTCCAATCAGAGACAATTAGGAAAATGTATCAGTGCCTGATTTTTGCTGCACTTCTGTTCAATCAATAAATAAATAAACAATCTTTTTGTGTTCTGCCCTGGTAGCACTTAATTAGATATGATTAATAATTTAATAACTAGATTATTAAGTCGTATTTTTGACTGATCAGTATTTCACATTATCTTGTATTGACAAAATGTAGCCCTAGTTAGTAGTTATGGCTTTCAAAACCTATCTACATAAAGAAACCTATACACATAAACAAAAATGCGAAACACTTGGAAATGTGAGTTGTGAACCAGCCTTGATGATTTTAAATTATTACTATTTTCTTAAGCATTAGAATTTTTTTTCCACCTATTTCCTATGTTGCTGGCAGCAGAAGGAACTTAATTATTCTTTGTAAGAGATAGTATTGTGCAGATTTCAGAGCTGAAATTATCCTATCTGCATGTGTTTAAAATCTAAGTAAATTAAAAATTTGACCTTGATCATTCATTACCTATTTGCCATTGCTTAGTTTTCTGCACACTAACTTCTTCCATTAAAATTCTTATGTCTTCCAAAATAGATGTATAATTTAAGAGGAAGGGTAGTTAGAGAAGGATCTGGAGGATTCATTGTTTTCTGTTGTGGTTAGCCAGTGGAACAAATTTTGTGTCTGAATTACAGTGTGTAGACTTTATGCTCTGTATGTGTTTCTGAGGCTGCCTGGTTATGTTAAAATGCTTTCTGGAAGAAATGTTTCTAAAGTACTGTAATTATCTTTCTGTATGTTAATTATGATTCAAGAGCTCATTAGAGCAGGATGCTATCTCAGCGGCAAGATCTAAAATTCTCTGATGGGAACCTTGGGCTTATTTTTCAGTGCAGAGAAAATCAGACTTGGAGCAAATTGCCTGAATTTTGATTTGCCTCAATTACTTCTCAAAAGCCTGGAGCAGGTGTTAGAACACTTTTTATTTACTAGTCTCTGAAGCTTCCATCTAATAAAACTGTGTCGAGTTATATCAGGAAGCGAGGTGCTTGTTTTGGAATATTCTGTGTGATAATATTCACATGTCTAATTTAGAATATGAATAGCAATAGAGGAAAGAAGGAAGGAAAGAATTGTTTTTACTCTGTGTTAGCAATTTCTGATTTCTTGTGTTGGGTGGGCCTCCCCTCAATCAGATACAAATGAAAAACAAAAGGCACCAGGATGCCAATCTAGATGAAAAATTTATCATTTCCAATGTATTGATTGTCGATCTGAATCACTCAGTTTTTGACTCTGAAATAAATGTCACAAACAGGGCATGACATTCTCTAAGTAATACAATATTTATAATAAACATAGTAATAGTATAATAGTAATAAGTAAGACAATATTTATAAAAGTTATAAATTACCATTTAATCCCTTCCATTAAAATTGAATAATCTTTTACTTGGGTGTTTTGATATTCTCAAATATTTCATCTTCTGTCAGCATGAGGTGATTGTATGAAGAGTATTATATTGCAATTTGGATGGTTTACCCAGCTTGAAGCAGAACTCACTATTACACACTCTAAGTGTTTGTAATGGCCAAACATCACCATGTCTTAGGCAGTGACCATAGGTTTTATGGTGAAAAAAAACATAAAAGAACTTAAGTCTTCTTTTTAAAGAAGTTCTTACTGTGGACTTCGTTTGCCAGAACCAGGAATGCAGCATTTCCAAGATAACCTGTTGCATCCCAAAGACCAGCTGTGTGGCCCCTTGTGTTTTGCTACAGGCAACTACAATGCTCCATGTTGATCCATAGTTCTTACTGTTCTTTGCCAATTTCATGCTAATCACAAGTGAAAATTCTCTTCCAGATTGGTGGTTGTTTTTTTTTTCAAGGAACCACGAAGCTCCATCCCTTCCAAGTGTAGGTTCTAGATTATTGTAGTGAGCAACTGAGGGGAAACTTAGGGCTTTAAAAAAAGAAAACAAATCAAGAAAAAAAAAGTCCTCGCTTTTGTAAAGCATGAAATGTCAGCCTTCATGGGTGCTTTTACAGTAGATAATATGATGTATACAAAACTGGCATTAAAATATGAGTATAAATGTTACATTAGTCATCAAATCATTCTTCTTGCTCATAAACAGAATCATTATTATGAAAACTGAAGACTAACCTAGCACTTAGCTCTCATTTACTGAAAACAACAGTGCAAAGTAAACAAAACAGTGAAAAGATTTTCTTCATCAGAGCAGAATTCATTTTGAACAAAAAAAAAAACAGACACAAAACCAGAAACTAGAAGCAGATCCATTGCATAGTAACAGTTTCGGAACTTTTTTAAACTCCTAGATAAGAATCTTTGATTTCTATGCATAGAGAATGCTTTGTGGTTTTGTCCATACAATTTATTCTTTGTTTACTATAAGCTTAACAAAAGGCATGACAGCAGAATTTACCTAAGTCTGCCTGAAAATTGAACTGAATGAAATTGCATGAATACATGATGGTATTAAACACATGGGGACAACCATTAGAAATAATTCAAATTCAGTTCACTATTGAATACACCTTTTTTT